GTATTTCATGTTACTGACTGTGGCACAAAAAATATGTGTTTAGTTTTGGTGGTATCATAGAAAAAACACAAAAATCAGAATACAATATATAAGGATAAAATGTTATCAAAAATAAATAAATATATATATATATATAAGGATAAAAATTATAGGAAATTATATCTGAGCTCAATATTAGATTGTGTCCTTTAAGACAATTTTGCCCTCTTTATGATGCCTAAGATTAGTGGACAAATACCTCCTAGGATAGAATGAGTTATCTCTGTTTCAATGGTGGTACTACCAAAAGAAACAGTATCGGCAGACAAATGAACGATGATCAATCGCAGACCAAGGCAGTTTGGGAGGATTAATTTTGACAGAGTTTTTGTAAGAAATCGGGAAAACTTAGTAATTTTGTTTACAGGCCACTGATATATAGAGAGATGAAGGTCACAAGATGAAAATGCATGACTATTCAGAAACAAACAAGCGAGATTGTTCACTTGCAAAGAAGCATGTATACGCGTACCCATATTTGTCCACCCCGGCGAACATTTCGTGACATTGCTCGTCGTCCCGCTTCTATTTGCCTCGATGTTATCCAAGCGGGCTCAAGTGATCGAAGAGCATATCTTCCGAAGCAAATAAGATTACCTCGATAAAAGGACAGACTCTTCTAACTTCTTATTCATAACCCATTTATACAACATTTCAACCTCATGCAAATTAGGGGGTGTTCATTAACCGATCCAAACCGATTCAAACCGCGGTGACCGAACCAAAAAATCGATAACCGAATAAACTGAAAACTGAAAAACCGAAAACCAATTAAAAACCGCAAATTTTAATTGGATTAGATCGGTTTTTGGATGGGTTGATGAAAACCGATCCAATATATTAATTTCCCCCTACTTACTTGGGTATTTCCCTAATGATAGCCTAAAAATTTCTAAACCCAAGACTCATTAACCCATCAACTAAACCCAAGAAAAAATCTAGTCATATCTCATCAACAAAATTTTATCTTTGTAGAGCTTCGTATCTCATTGCCAAAATTAAAAAAATTATATTATAGTTTACTAATGCTTTTGTATTTCAAAAAAAAAAATTTACAAAGCCAATATATACAAAAGATGTTATTTGCACAATAATCATGAAATAAATTTTAGGATGTTCAAAAAACCGAAATCCAATCCAATCCAAACCGAAAAAAATTGGATTGGATCGGATCGGATTTGAAAAAAAATCAAAACTGAATGGATGATTATATGATCAAACCGAAGGGATTGGATCGGATAATTTTTGCTTCCAAAATTGATCCAATCCAGACCGCGAACTCCCCTAATGCAAGTATTATACATGGTGAAAAAATATAATATAAAATTATTAATATATTTTTTACTTAATAATTTAAGTTTTTGAATTTAAATGATTTTTAACATTATATGAAAATTTTTTGTGACCAAGTGATCACAAATCATTTTATAGATAAATAAATATTATGAAACTTTCTAGTATAGATGGACTAGTGTATTATTCACTATTCAAGCACTGGGTTGATAAAAAAATATAATATAAAACTATTAATACGAGATTCATCTAGTAATTTAAACTTTTGGGTTTAAATGATTTTTTATATTGACCATGAACCTTAAGCTAGGATAAGTGAGACCAACATCATCGTCTCTCAATCCAAAATTTTAGGACACTAAATCTAGGGATCTTGTCACTTATATCCCTTTGTTTAGTCGATCCCAAACTATTGTGGACTCCCTCACACATGAATTTCAAACCAAATATAATAAATTTGATCATCTATTTAAGGGGTAGAAAAGTTTGGTTAAAGAAAAAAAAAAATGAACAGTGATCCATGTACAAGCTCAAGTGATAGGGAAGTCAATCATATACATACCTGAAATATAAGAAGTTGTAACAACGCCGTTCGCAGGCTGTATTCTGCCTGGGAATCCTTATATCTCTCGTATTCATCTTTCATTTTTTGCAATGCTTCTTTTTCAGCTTTACGCCCAGATTTGCTTTGACCAATAGCACACAACTACAAATGAATAAGGAAGAGGTTGAATGAAAAAAGAGTAATAATCAAATTAATCATTGTTATTCAGTTTTGACCTTTTATTCTTTTTTAAAAATTTCTTGTTTCATTTGATCATTCTCATTCAAATTTAAAAGTATCAGCAAAGTAGTAGTAAAATAAGAGAAACCTTCAGCTCTTCAACTTGCTTCTCATCAGGTTCATCCTTAAACTGGGGACATGCCTGATTTGAGGGTTCTGCATTGATCATCTTCAATAGTGACTCAAGTGTAACCTCTTCTCCAGCTTGTGGAAGCCTAGGTGAAGGAATTGCATAAGCTGTGTTAAATTTAGGATTCATACTGCTATTAAAATTCAACAATCCAAGAACACAAGCCAAAACCAGAGATGCTCCACTCATTCCCCTCAAAATTTTGTTGTCATTTCCCTCATGCTTGGAAGACACAGAGAAACTATCAAGCATGCAATTTGTATGCCTAGATGAACATGCAATTGGTTTGCTTGTGGAAGAGTGAGAGAGACAAAGAGTGGCATGGTTAAATCTAAGATGGAACATGCTTTCCCTTGCATTTTCAGATGCTTTGGAAACATAGGACAGGCGCAGGGGAGTTCTAGGAAGGGGACAATAGCATAGGCGAATAACAGATTCCATCTTGGTGGAGATTATAGCGGATAAAGCCTCACAAGTAGTAGTCTATCTAATAGTATTTATGATCCATAAGTAATAGTAAAATGCATCTCTAGAATGAAGGATGGAAGATAGGTATATTTTTCTGCTTGAAAAGAAAGTTGCAATTGTTAATAAGCTGCTTTGTACGTTATATATATTTTTATTATTATTCCATTACCCTAATTATCCTTTTGGAACGAATTAGGTACTCAGGGTATTTCCACAAATTGGGTGGGAAAAAGGACTTGCACAAATATGAGACTAATCCTGAGTCAAGTAGCATGACAATTATTGAGTTCTAACCCTGAAAGTTCTCTCTAGAATTTGAATCCATGCTCTCTTTGACAATTCTTCCGTCGTAGGGATCATATTGTTACTTGAGCCAACCATGGGGGTTTGTACATTATACTTCTTTCAATGCTAGAGTGATTCCCACATGTTACACATTTAGGAAGAATGATGTAAGCTTTTGTTGCTTTTATCAGGCCCCAACTTAGTACAAGTCATTTGTGGGGGATAAATCTTTGCTTAAAACATGGGATACCTCAAAAAATTGATGTGGAGATCGATTCCTGACAAAAAAACTTGAATTTCTTTACCTATCTAGCAAGACTAGAATCAGAACCTTTGATGATATTCACAAACTTTATATTATGTATATTGCTTTTACCTTTGATTTTATGCAGGTTCAATTAATTGGGAGGAATGCTCAACTAAATAGTTATTCTTCTTTGTGATAAAGGAAAAGGGAAGAAAAGGGACCAACTTGTAGAAAAGCGTATGTACGGATAACTTGGTAAAATTGGTGAAAGTGTTTCTATGTGTACGGATCTGCGTGAAGCGTAAATCATGGTCAAGGAGAAGGCCTGTTCTAACTAGATCTAGGTCCCTTATAGAATTATATGGTGGTGATCTAGCAATGAAGAGATTCTTTGAGGATTCTTCTAAAGACTTTACTTCAATAGGAACATGTTGATTTAAAGAAGTTTCAGGCTATAATATCTTGAGTAGGATAAGATTATAAATTATCATTAAAATCAGATTTGCTATGTATTATTACAAGAATACAATAACATGCTTAAATTCAGCAAAATAGAAAAGAAAGAAAAAAATACTGTTTTCATATTTTTAGTTTACCTTGTTTTATTCTATGGAGCTGGATAATTTTGAACACTTCAACTTGGGTAGTGTCTTCATAAGAAACCTCGTGAGCATGCTAAATCTTTAGTTATCCCAAATTCCCAATTGGATAATCTAAAGCATGCCACTTGACTAAGTGCCCTACCTTTTCAAAACATTGTTTTGAGTTTTGAAATTTTAAATTCCAAAAATATTACAAAAGTTAGTTATTACTGTTTCTATGGTCAACCAAAGATGAACTTTGACCACTTCATTTGAATCGTTAGTGGTCCATAGAAGTACCCTGGGAGGGTGTGGTATATTGATATACGAGTGTTCATAGTAACAATGGTAAAGACTAAAACCCTAACGAAGCTTCCCATAGTGCAAAGCAGGTATACTGCAAAGGGGAAGTCAGGAAGTGCGTGAGTGGCTAGAGAGACTTCACAAATATACAAAGTAACAGCATGAGAGTTGAATAGAGAAGAAAATGCCCCATGATGAGCCAACTATCGGGGTTTGTACATTATACTTTTTGCCCTACTGTCAATGTACAGTGGGCAACACTATAGGACAAAGGAAAAATTCTAGTGATAAGCCTTTATGGCTCATTATGGGTACCTTCTATAAAGTTCTAAGTATGGACTTTAAAGATTGAACCCAATTGGTTGGGCTTGTAGAGTGCTCCGGCCAAAACATCATTAAATTACGGAATTGAAAGCATCTAAAAACGCTACCCTACCCGACCATAATGCTCTCTCAACTGATTTGGCATCATTTCCATAGAAGATTGGGTGCTAAATAACAATCATGAATGAGTAGCGTTGATTTCAACTAGCAATACTCAAAACCTTTCAAATCAATTCGAGACTATGTTTTTTAAAAAAAATAGTCTTGTCTTCTAAGCAAAGCAAATCTCTCAATGATGTTATTAATATATATTTCTAATGTAGAAAACAGAATTGATACAAAATTAGTACCTATATATCAAGACGCTACTAATATTCCAAGTTAAATAACTGACTTCAATTAAACCTACTCAGATTAGTTGGGTTCCATTTTCTCAAATATTATACAATTGGTGTCAAATTTTTAGTGTAAGTTGTTTGTGCAAGAACCTCTGCATAGCGAAATAGAAATCAAATCCGAGGAACAGAAATCCATGGAAACCATTTTATGGGGAAACTAATAACAACTTCTAAACCTCTCATCCTCCAATCAAAGTTCCTCTGTTTCTCTCTGCTCTATCTCTTCACCTTTCTCTTCCTTGCTCTTTATGCCATTTTCTCTCAATCCAAATGCTTTGATCCCATTCAAACTTCTCTCTTCTCTTACCCTTCCTCCTATGGAGAACACAAGTATGCTATCTCAACCACACGTTCTACCTGCTCTTCCCCTGTCATATTTTCAGGTACTGACATGTGGCCAGGCTTTCTGTGCTCCCACAAAAAAAGTTGTTGAATTTTTTAGTTTAAAGGATAAAGATAATGTCTTTTGCTTATTGGGTTTTGGTTCTTGTGTTCAGATTACTGGGATGTTTTGAAGGAGATCAAGCGTTTCCGCAAGAACTCTTCATCTCCCACGAGGATTATGAGGTATATGCAGGGGAATGCTGAAAGTTTTGGTGGGAATCTCAGCACCATTTTGAGGTTTTCGTATTTTGATCATCAAAACGATAGCAAAGAAGTTCCATGTGGATTTTTTAAGAAATTTCCAATTAATAATTCTGGTCAGTTCCCTCCTCTTCTTCATGCATGTGTGCATGAGTGTGTGAGTGTCCAATGACGGAGACTCTTGAAGATATCTCAATTCATGCATAAAATATTGAACTATCAAGTTTCTGTAAGTTATAAATTGCCACTGAAATTAATGGATATTGAAAAATAGTGGCTCCAGATATTACTTACATTGTGGAGTTCATAAAGTTAATTTTCATGTTCTTTTATATTTTGAGTTTAGATAATAATCTGCTTATGTTGTATCCTTTGTATCTGGATGTAGATCGATTGGCCATGGAAAAGTGTGAAAGTGTAGTTGTGGTTTCAGCAATTTTCAATGACCATGATAAAATCCGGCAACCGAGGGGCATGGGGTCCAAAACACTGGAAAATGTGTGTTTCTTCATGTTCATAGATGATATTACCCTCAAAGGGCTTGAACATCATGGAATGGTTTCAATAAAATCAAGTGAATACAAGATAGGTGTGTGGAGGATTGTGAAGGTTTCAAAAGAGGATTTGTATCAGATCCCAGCAATGAATGGGGTGATACCAAAATATTTAGTCCATAGACTATTCCCAAATTCCCACTTCAGCATATGGATAGATGCAAAGCTACAACTAATGGTTGATCCATTGTTGTTGATTCATTCACTAGTTATATCTGAGAATGTAGACATGGCTATATCAAAACACCCATATTATGTTCATACTATGGAAGAATCAATGGCAACTGCAAGGTGGAAGAAATGGTGGGATGTCAATGCATTGAAGATGCAAATGGAGACTTATTGTGAAAATGGATTGCAACCTTGGAGTCCCAGCAAGCTTCCCTATGCCTCAGGTAACTATGCATTATTTTTTATATTAATTTCTTGTTGTAGAACTGTGGGATTTTGTTTACTCACAGTTGAATTAAGATATACTCTTTTCAAGATTTTGACACAAACTTAGTACCCTCAATAATAAAGATTTGTAATAATACAACTTGAGTAGCTTATGCTTTAAAAAGTAATCAAGTATTTGTTATCTCGAGAAGTGGTAAAGTTGTTTCTTTGTGACTGAAATGTTACACATTCGAATCCGGAAAATAATTTCTTAACAAATATGTAAGGATAAGACTACGTATAAGAATTGTTCTCACATCTATCCTTATTAGTTGAGGTTTAACAAGGAGTGGTGAACACAGTAAGTATGTTTTAACCAATCCAAAATTACATTGCTTATAATGTAATGAACTTTAGAAAAGGTTTTACACCATATATAGTTGACTTTCTTAGCATTTAACTTTCGGAATTGGGGTTGGAACCATTATATAGATACTATTAAGTAACCATATATAATTGGCAGATGTCCCAGACAGTGCTTTGATCCTGAGGAAGCATGGATTGAGTAGTAATCTCTTCTCCTGTCTTATGTTCAATGAGTTGGAGGCTTTTAACCCAAGAGACCAATTGGCCTTTGCATTTGTCAGAGATCACATGAACCCCAAGGTAAAGCTGAACATGTTTGAGGTTGAAGTTTTTGAACAAGTGACAATAGAGTACAGACACAATCTCAAGCCAAGTGATGGGTCCACTGTCAAGAAATTGTCAAGGACAGTAAAAACAAAAAGGGCAGAACCAGATTTGTTGTATGTAAATGGCAGCTGTTGCAGCAGGTGCCAGCACTATCTTTCAACTATGTGGGGTGAATCTCATTAAAGATGCCCCAGAAGTAAAGAAAAAATAATTATCACAAAAAGAAGGTCAAAAAACAAAACAGAGAAAAAAATAGAACATCACAATTGGATTTGTCTTTTGACAAAATGTCATGGAGACTAACAATTGAAAAAATAAAGGAGAAGACTGATTCCTTTATTCACAAAGAAGCTGACAACCTGGTACAAATTAACAGCACTATTATGCTCTTTTCTATATAAATTCCCTTTGCTCAACTCTTTTGTTTTTTATTCAATTATATTGCTTTTTGAAAATGTGTGAAACTGAAGAATAGTGGAATTATCTGGCTGGTTTATTTCTTAAATCCAAAGTAGCTAAGAATGAAGATAAGGAGAAGGATATTAGTGCTGTGGTCACAATAAGTAGGTTGAATTTTGATTCAATTACATATAATTTTATACATTTTCTTTTAGATACAAAGTAGGTAAAAAGGATCTCATAGAGTCATTGTTGCTGATAAGATAAGTCCTGATAACAAGCTGGACTCAATTGGTTTGAAAGTTTTGCATAAAATGTTTTCCAAATGGTAAAAAGACTGGGATGTAGAGGCTCTGAGTCAGCTTGGAAATTCTTATTTGGAACTCTGAAATTGTCTTCTTCAACCCATTCTTAAATTTGTTTTACTACCATTTTTGGTACACAATATTGATCAACCATACTTTTAAACATTCTAAATTTTTACTTTTATATTAAAAATGTACAAACACATTTTAGGTGAAAACAAACCACTCTTCGTTAAATCCCGACTAACTAACGAGAGTAGAGGAAGAGCAATTCTTATAAGCAATTTTACTGTTACATATTTGCAGTCTCCATTAAACCCCGACTAGTTAGAGTAAAGAGAGGGCAATTCTTATAAGCAACTTTACTCATATATATTTGCAAAAAAACTGTTTGTCGAATTCAAACCCAGAACTTTTTAATCACAAAGAAGTGACTTTAACACTGCTCCAGTCTCCGGACTAGCCTCAAAATTATTTATTATATGGAAAAAAAATGTTACCTTTTTTTTTTAAGTTGAGGGGAGTGAATCTTACAAAATTAAGGTTGAGTATCATTATCCCCGTTGTGTAATATATCTTAATTATTGAAAAATATATTTCGTAAAATACATCCCTAATAAAATATAGCGAAAACAGTTACTCTCTCCATTGAATATATTTGGCTTAAAATCATTTTAGTAAATTTTGGATCAATAAAATGCTGGATCAAACGTTATTGCATGCGCAATTTTATTTTTTTTAGTGTCCCCCTACCTGTTCAAACGTCATGGACTATTTTGATCTTATTCTAAACCCACGTTAAGTTTTGTCAAAGTAGGATATTGTTCTCTCCAACAATCTTCACAACACCTCTTCTTATAAAGTGTTATCTTAGATAATGTAACATGTGATTTCAGCTCTAATACCAATTTCGGCTCTAATATTGGTCAAAAGCAATAATTATTAGTCAACACGAAACTTTTTCTACTTATTCTTATTAGACCAAATATCATGATTTCATCTTCAACCCCACATTAGGTCTTGTCAATGTAGGATATTGACATCTTTAACAATAAATAAAAACTAATTTTTAAAAATACATATATTAAAAAAGGGCAAAGTGACTCTCCTATTGTAAGAGAGTCCTTGTCTTCCAACTAGTGAGAGAAAAACATATATAGGGTTGATATATGAAAAAGAAAAAATGCCTGGCACAAAAATAAAGTATTAGTAAGAGATTCTTTTGTTTTACTCCAAGACGAGGTTCGTTTTGTTGAGATATTCAAGTTTGACGAGTCCCACATTGGTTGGTAATGAGCTAAGTGAAGAGCATATAAGTGAAAGGACCCACGAACCCAATGCCTTAAGGTTTTTGGTTGAGACATGGTGTCGGATCCACTTGCCACGGTTGGTGTAGCCTTAGCTCATTGGTGGTGGCTCCCCGCCACCTTAGCTCATTGGTGGTGGCTCCTCGCCACGGGCTTCTCCTGGACCCGCTTGACATTGGAGTTTGAGGGAACGAATTTCCCAACAGTGGTATCAGAGCCGGATTGGGCTCGAGCTAGCCTAGTGATTGGCTAAGAGGCGGGTCGAGTACTTTGCGTTTCGGGTACTCGGTTGAGGGGGAGCATACCAATGGTGGGTTTCACACTTGAGGGAGAGATTGTTGAGATATTCAAGTTTGATGAGTCCTACATTGGTTGGTAATGAGCTAAGTGAAGAGTATACAAGTGAAAGGACCCATGAACCCAATGCCTTAAGGTTTTGGGTTGAGACATGGTGTCGGATCCACTTGCCACGGTTGGTGTAGCCTTAGCTCATTGGTGGTGTCTCCCCGCCACGGGCTTCTCCTGGACCCGCTTGACATTGGAGTTTGAGGGAACGAATTTCCCAACACGTTTAACCTGTTAAAAAAAGTTTTAATAGCTATTCAGTTGTTGCAGATCAGAAAATTTGCAGCAACACTTACTTTCATCAGGATTCGATTTCGTATCTTATTTTTTTTTTTTTTTGTTAATTTCAGGATCCGACTCCGTGTCCTACTATAATATATTTGCTGCAAGTTTTTTCATCAACAATGACAGCATAAATAAGGAACCCTTAAAAAAAATCTACCAAAATGTGATTGTTTCATATATATAGCATATTTTTTTAGAGCTCCTTCTACAGCGATATATGGAATAATATTTTTCCCTTCATTGTACATTATTAAAGGTTTAGTTTAAGTATCTTGTATGATATTGTTGTCTCCATTCCAACTCCATTTCTGGCCTCACTCTATTATTTATAGAAATAGAGTTTCATTAATAATTCCATAATCGAAATTATTAATGAAATTCCATTGAAGCCTGGACAAAATTCCCAGTTTCACGGAGGCCTTATCCGTTTTTATTTTTTATCTTTTCGAACTTATTCTCTAATTCTAAAAAAAAGAAATTAAAGAAGAGGGGAGGGGGTTAATCAAAGATATTTGATTGGATCTCCAATCTTTGCCCCCTCCCGTGCCAAAAATTAAAATGAAAAAAAGGGGAATATCAATGCGTCCGGGAATAAACGATTGATCTCTATCAAGAGACCCGCTAAAGCCCCGAACCATAGAGTACTTATCACTGGTGCCACAGAGAGATATGTTTTTATATCCCGCATTTCGAATCCTCCTTCTTTTTAGTCTTTATTGTAATTTTAAATGCATAATTACATACAGTAATACGATTTGATGACTATTTCGTTAATAATCGTTTATATTTTTTGTATCAAAGCTAAGACTTGATGTGTTTGTTGATAAACATGGAAATATAATGTTTTACATTACTTAGGTTTCGATACTTGTGATTTTTTATTTTTTATTTTCTCAGTTTCTATCAGCTTTGTTTGAAGTTATTTGCTGATTTCTCCTCATAACTTGGTGAAATGTTTTATGTAGATTTTGATTTTCAGTAAAACGAGCTAAAAGTAGGGTTCAATAAGTGGTATCTGTGTAAAGTATTATGGTCTAATTTGATTTCAGATTTGGGGCTTTTCAAAATTTGATGTTCTTTACTGCGTTGTGCTGTGATAGTCCTAGAGATATACATTTTGACTTCATTTCAGCCTTGGACTTCAATGGTAGCTTTTGCATCTTATAGAGTTTGTTTACCTTACTAGCTCTCATTTGTGCCACACACTCAAGGGAAGTTTACTTCACTAATCAGCAACTAAGCTTTAAGTTGATACTAGATTTTTACATTCTCTGTGGTGGGGGTACCAGCTGTCAAACCATATAGGGACAGGGGAAGTTCCTTTTTGTTGAAAGAAGATTTCTTTTGGTTATGAATGAAAGGGCTAGACTTGAAACATTTCTCATTCAAGGTGTATTGTCTGTGAAAGTGAGGGCCTTTTATTTTTAAGTCTATGATGCAAGATAAAAGAGGAGTGTTTAGAGTGAAAAGGGAAAGGGAGAAATACATGGGAGAACATAAATCAAGTAGATAACATAGAAAGATTTAATTCAACCGATTGCTTCTGAAACTTGACATTATTAGCACCTAACAATCCTTTTTTATAGCAACCCTTTTAATTCAAATTCTAGTTGGACAAGAAGGGTTTATTTTGTTTTTTGTCTAATTGAAATAGCAAGCCTTTATTTGTTTGAAATTTCTGACAATCATAGATTCTTAGTTGATAAAAACTATCCAAACTCTGTAAATTCGATCCATAAATCACACAGAACTATTGAAGTGTTATTATTTGAAATCATTACAAACACCATAACTTCTCTTCTTTCATTCTTTATCAGTTCAGAATTTGTTGCTTAGAATTAAAGGCTGTAAAGGCTTTCAAGCTTTTTATGTGAGCTTTGACTTTGGTAAATTTGGTTATTGGATGTTTGATATGGCTTCTCCCATCCATCATGTGAGCGTTGGGATTGATCTGTGATCAATCTTCATGCTAGCGCTTAGAAGAAACCAGGTTTATTAATATCTTTCACCTTTCTGATATCTAAGTGAGCTGGGCCTGATATAATGTAGATTTTTAAATATTTATCTTAGTTGAGTCTGACTTTTTTACTAAAAAAATATTAATAATAATAATTTGGCTCTGTCAAGTCCCTCCATTGCAGAGCATGACTTGGTGTTAAACTTGACTTTCTTTGCTTCATTGTGTCTGACTGGTTTTCCCAATTATCCATTTGCTTCATGAGGCTAATTTGATATGTCATGTACTGATCATAGACAAGAATAGAGATGAAAGTGATGAGAATGGCAGGTACTTCTGATAGGTTGCCTTGCCTGGATGTTTTTCCTGGTGCAGCAAACTGCTTTGTGCCGAGCATCTTGGAACAGCCTGAATGACTATGCAACTAATTGCCAACTGATTCTCTCTATTCTCACAATTCTTATAGCTTAAGTAGGTTTCAGTAAAAGTGTTTTGAAATTCCTCTTGTAAAGCAATCTTCAAGGCCTTATTGATACCACTACGTTGTTTTTTTTTTTATGCATCTTTTTTCAGTTTCAAACTGACCATCAGTTTATTGCATCTTTCATGCTAAAGTTGATGACTATTATCTATGAATTACAATTGATATACAGAAACGTCAAATCACTTTGAAAATTTGAAAGCAACTATGATTGTTTTATTTATTCTGATTCTGCTACTATAAGAGGATAGCCTGAAATAGTAGTAAGGTTGCTTCTTTATGTTCTGAAGGTCACTGGTTTCAAGTTTAGGAAACAACCTCTTTGCAAAAATACAAGGGTGAGACTGTGAACCGACCATCATCCTTACCCTTTCAAAGTCAAGGAATTGTGTGCACTGGGGTTCGCCCTTTTATTCTGCTACTATAAGTTTTACAATTTGATAAATTAACATAAAAGGTGATGATGGTAACATGATTTAGGAGAAGTATACGCAGAGAAAACAAGTTTGAAAGGTATCTTGTTCTCATAAGAATAGTACTAGGGATGCATCCGAGCAAACAGGAGGTGATTAGAATCATAGCTTAACTGAGCATCAAGTTATACCTGATTAAGAGGTGTTTACAGAATTTGTTTCTCACCCTTGACAGCAACCTATAATGTATCTCTTAGAAATTTTAATTTTGAATCCCTAATTATATTTAGGGGTGGCAATACGGGTCAACCCGACACGACACGTTTTTGACCCGTACACTATTTGACACGACCCTGACACAACCCGTTTTGTAAACGGGTCACAAAACACGAACCCTAACACGACCCGTTGCGAGTCACGGGTCGACACACACGACTCGCAAAATTTAAAATTTAAAAAAAAGTGGGATTTTTTGAAAAATAAATAAATTAAAAAAATAAAAAAATAAAATAAAAAAAGATTAGCTTCTGTTTCTTGAGATTTTTAGTTCCTTGTATTCTTTTCTATACTAAACAATGACTATATATATCAATATATAAATGAATAAAAATAATAATATAATAAAATATTTAATTGAAAATTAAAAAAATGACACTGTGCGGGTTGACACGCGAACCCGCGGGTTGACATGTGACTCGACACGAAAAAAAACGGGTCACATTTACACAACCCTGACATGACCCGCCCTGACCCGCGGGTTGACACGACATGTGATTTGGCAGGTCGGGTCACGGGTCAACTTGCGGGTCAATACCTGTATTGCCACTCCTAATTATATTGACCTTCAATGTGCTAATGTGTATATGTGTTTTGTTAAAGGATAAATAACTTTGTTAAAATATATCTTCTTAAGTGAGGAAATTACAATTTCTTTTAACCAAACATGTGCCAAATGTTGAACTGTGACAGTATTGGTTTTTCTTTAGCCTTTTGTCTTTACAACCATCATTTTTTTTTTCCAAAATATTGCAAAATCTCCTTAAATGCAACTAAATTGTTGCATATCCTCATTTTTTATAGCAAAACCAGTAATGGTGACAAACTGAATATATATGAATCATCTTACATTTGCTTCTGTTGCTTTCCTTTTATTACAGGATGGTAAATAATTGTCAAAGGATAAAGTGGACAGAGATGTATAAATTAAGGAAGATCAAGATAACATAAATATCATGGCATAAGTGGAATGAGTTATCTTGCAAAACCACTTTTAAAGACTGCTTCTTCTGTCTACATAGTTGTTAGTCTAGTTTCATTTGATTTTTATTCTAATCATTTCTCATTTTGATAACCTGCTGCGTTGGTCCAGACCGTGGGAATTCATCTACTTGTGCTGCTGAAGCATCAAAGCAATTTTATCATAGGTTGTACTGATCTGCTAGTTTCAACTTGGGACCCTAAGTGTGTTTGTGAGTTAACATTCATGGTTTGGTTGGACTATGATATTTTGTGGCTCTATCTTGTGAAATGAACACATGGCCATTTTCAGATTTATTAGACTTTGAAAGATAAAACTGTGAACTTTGTTGTGGTGATCCCAACTTTTTGAAGGATCCGTGTGGCAAAAATCCTTACGGGAAATATATTAATGGGAATGAAAGCTGTGCCTTTTATATTGATTGGAAATATCTTGGTTGACATTCTAATATTCACCAGTGTCGTCACTGGCTAGAAAGTTGTCACATTTACTTGTTTTCTCTGACATTCTAATATTCACCAGTGACATCCTATATAGTGCTAAATGAGCCAGGTAAATTGTTGTCAATGTATCACAAAACTGGATCGTTCTTTTAGTTTTTATCGTTGTGTTTTTATTCTGAACATACTATGTGATGCTTCCTTCTATTTGTTTCCGCACATGTAATATCTATGTATTATTTTCCCACAATATTTTACATATTTTACTCTAGCTTTCTATATCACCACACACCCATGCCTTGTTTAAGTCTGAGATTTTCTATAATGTAGTAATCCAAGTAATTATAATTTAATCCTTGTTAGACCATCATTGAACGAAGTTAATTGTGGTGCATTTCAGCATTTGTATCATCAAAAATTAAAAAGTATATATTGTGTTGTATCATCAGAGCAAATATTATTTGTTTTGAAAATATAAAAACGGGGCTTCACTTATTTGCTTAAGCTTTTAGGTAAGATGATTATTTATCATGGTATCAGAACCTATGTGGCGGTCACAAGGTTACAAATTCGATTCTCGTCACCTCCCACTTTTTAGTGGAATTAAGTCAGTATAAGGTAAAACTAAAAAAAAAAACATGTTAATATTCACTATTCAAGTTCAAAGGGCTCTTGCGTGAGCGAATGTATTAAAGAAATATAAAAACCATTGATGGAAACCTTCACTTATCAATTTAAGCTTTTAGGTGAGATAGTTATTTATCAATTTCTTTTATGCTTCATGTAAGATTGAGATGACCAATTATCTCTCTCATCATCTGGTCGCATGGGAAATATAATTTCTTTTAGCGATGATGCCAGCTCTACCTAGACATGGGCCAAGTGGTGAGGGATGGTTGGGGTCTGAGTTTTAGGCCCAGCGGAAACTAAACAGAGAAAAAAAAAAGTGGAAAATGTAGACATGCATTTTGTATTAATATCTTGTTTATGTTCACTTCTATCTCTTATTTTATTAAATATAACTCTTAGCAAATACATCCTTTAAATGTACATATTTATGTGTGTTCTATTACCTAGTAATTGTGTGTACTTTTTGTGTTGAATAATGCTGTTGGAATGAGGAATTAAATGATGAAATGAATTGTAGTTTTAATAGTGTAGTTTATCTCTCTTTTCTATTTATAGGTGTTGTACTTCAAGATAACTAAGGGCTTGCAGCAAGCACGGCACAGCATTTTTCGAATAGCACCCTTCCATAATCATCTACAGTTATGTGGGTTCAGAGAACCAAATATTGTATTAGATGCATATCTTGTATCATCTGTATTGGCTTTGCTAGGGAGCTACGTGGTTCTTGTTTCAGCATAATATCTTGATAAGGCTATTTGCTTATCTTCTGTAATTTGCATCGGATAGATTCATGTTCTGCATTATTTTATTCATTACATATATAGAAAATGTTTTGTGCACATTAGTTTCTATTGTGAAACTATAAACAAAAGTATCATCTTTGGGAGGGGTTTAAAATATCAATCTTGAAATAAATACCCAGAACTATAAACTACAGTCTCATGGTTATTTTAAAGTTTTTTGCACATGAAGATTTAAACAAACAGCATTCCCCGAGTAAGAGTCGTTGTAAAAGATAAAAAAATAGCCTTAATTTTTTTTTTTCTACTCTTGCTCCAATTTATTTTTCTTTTGGAATTTGCAACAAGCCACAATTAAAGTAATTACTCAATAATTTGTTTCACATTTATGAGTGAATTAATTTAAACGAGTCTCACTGAAACCATACCTTAAACGTGGGTGATTCCGAAGCTAAGACATTTTGTTTTTCTAAATCATTAAATGTGTACCAGAAAAAAAAGTTACAAAGACATCTCCTATGCGGACATCATCTTGAAATAAATACCCAGAACTATACATTTTAGGTAGATGGTCGTTGAACTTTCAGAAACTTGTAAACAGGTCCTTCCCTCCATTAACGCAAATCATCCGTTAGCATAGCACATGTGGCACATTATCATTTGCCACACATTTTCAGAGCAGGACTTTTCTTAACTATGGATATGTTCATCAACAAAATGCTCAAACTAAAGCTGGGAAACCCTATCCCTCGTGTTTCCAGATTTTCAATTGTTGATCCTTTGGAATTGATACCAATAAATAATGGAAGAAATCGAAATTGCCAAGGGAAGGAGAAAGAAAAGTTGAACTCCTAAAATGTGGTGTACTAATGCAAATGGATTTTAATTTTTAAATAGAAATCTAATTTAAAATAGAAAATATATGCATGCGATTTGTAACCATATCGACCGGAAGGTAAAAAGCATCTCAAATTAATAATTACATGCAATGATTTTGTCCTTTTTCTAGTCTCCGCTTTGATGATTTTTCTTACGATGTTTGCTACAAGCCAAGATTAAAGAAATTGTTTGTGGATGAAATAATTTAACTTTTCAACTCAGTCAAATCATGCCCATACCGAGTTATCCGTAAGATAACCCTACCCGTTACCAACTCCACTGAGTCTTCGCAGCTAAAACAACTCCTTTTAACAGATTCATAAGAGAGACAATATTTTTACTACCAAAATTTTTTACTACTAACTTACTACCTATCTGATCATCATTGAATCAAAGAGAGAGAATGCTAAAAAAATTTGAAAAAAAAAAAAAATATTAATTCAATGATGATTAGATAAGTAGTGAATTAGTAGTAGAAAATTTTAGTAATAAAAATATCCCTCCTCTCAAAATAAAACTCCAACTAAATTGAATATATAACTACAAACTTTCCATCAAAACTTAAATTCAAGGAGCGGAGATTCCCACTACTACCAATTGAAGCTGCTTCCAAATTTTTAATACAGCTGCGTATTTTGTGTTAAATCTCATCTGTTGATTTAAATCAGATCTTACAATTAAGATAGTAAAAGTTATAATCATAAGTCAGTGATATGAATACGAATAATTCTCCCATATTATTAATTATAATTGTAACAACACTTGGAGGGTTGGGATTAGTTACTAACATTAACGGGCATTTTATCAAATACGCAAAGAGATGGAAATCACGGAGCAACACAACTATCAATAGTAAACTACAATAAAATAAAATAAAAAAGAACTCAGTTAAAGTAGTTGACCAATACATTGAGTCAATAAATAACAATAAAGTTGCAAAATGAAAACTTTCAGCTAAACTTCAATGTGACACAATATAGTCTGGCAAGAGAAACAAAACACGGGTGACCAAAAAAGTAGCTCCAGCCATAATACCATAATTTAAAGCCGTCTACCCCTTCTACCACTCTTTCTCCGGGTGCTATCTGAGGGAATTGGTGTGACATCCTCTGAAAAATAAAAAATGAATAAACAACAGTAAGACATAAATCATAACAACTGGTAAGACATAGAACATAACTACTACTTAAAATTGGAGGCAAATTCTGATTACGAAAAAGGAATACCTATGCGCCCAATTTTCATACCGGACCGAGCCAAGGCACGGAGAGCAGATTGAGCTCCAGGACCAGGGGTTTTTGTCTTGTTTCCACCAGTTGCACGAAGCTTGATATGAAGAGCAGTTATGCCCAGCTCCTGCTCCAAATAAATGAGCCAATTTAACAGATTTTGACAGTTAATCAGGAAATAAATCCATATGAAATGACAATTGATACTGGGAAGAAAACAGGACATTTAAACTGTTGGAATTTATCAAATTCATAAAGATGAAAGAAGCATCTTGTCATGAAAACCAATATAAATAAAGAGGTAAAAAAATCTGATTACCTTGCATCTGGCAGCAACATCCTGTGCTGCAAGCATAGCAGCATATGGAGATGACTCATCTCTGTCAGCTTTAACCTTCATTCCACCTGGACATAAGCAAAGAAGCAAATTTCAAAAAAACAATAGAAGAAAATTATATCCACTGAAAAAAAAAATCAGAGACTTCAGAATGTTATCTAATATATAAATGGAAACTAGGTTTGGTTATGTTGATTGAGAAAATCAAAGTCATTAAGATAATAAATAATAAAATTGTCAAGAGCAGTATCTTCAACTTCAGGATCAAACTTATATTTACAATTAGTTGAAAGTAGAAACGGTTTCTTAAAAGTAGAGTTACTCAGCCCAAACACACAATCTTACAAAATAGATACATTGTCGGGAAGGAATTGCAAAGAGTGAAAAACAAAAAATTTCAATAAGAAAAACAAATGCACCGAATTTAATGTATAACTATTTCAATACAATGTAAAAAACAATTGAAAGTTTAACTGGAAAAACAAAATGTAGCCACTTTATGAGAATCTTTGGTGTATTACTTCCTGGCTTCATGCAATGTAAAGAGAAACAAGCTTACCAGTAATGCGGACAAGTGTTTCCCTCCCAGACAAATCAGTTACATGCTGCAATCATGCAAATCATCCGATCACAAGAATTCAAATGAAGGATTAAAAACAAGCTGGATATACTCACAATGAAGGTGTCATTAAATGATGCAAAGATGCGAGCCACACCAAAAACATGTTCACCATCTCTGACAGCAGGACCAAGAGTCACATTTTCCTCTTTTGGCTCTCTAACCTTTCTCCTTGACTGCAGGAGATAAACCACATCGTGTCAGATTTGAACTCAATAACATGCCCAAAGATTGAAAAAAACAAAACACAACCAAATTCTCAACGAAATTAACAAAATAAGTACTAAAAAAAATAGAAACGCTGCATCATTGTTTCACTATCATAAGCTATAACACCGCCCCTTTAATTTTGTTAGAACCAGTTATCAATGGAGTTTAGTTGACAAGTTAAAAACAAAAAATACCATCCAAATAATCAGATCTTGGAAGAACAAATAGGGAAAACACTCCAATAACAAAGTCGAATCAATTTTGATGCTCAATCACCATGACACAAACCTAGTCGACAAATTAAAATCAAAAGCCTCTAATGTTCACCAAAAACCAATAAAAAAAATCAAAAACAGAAATGCGAACAAAGCACATATGAAAAAAGACGGCATGCATAATCCACACGATTTGATGCGTCTAAACACACCAGAGACGTCACAATACAGTGTAGAAACATACCATGGTTGATGCTCTAGGGTTTATGGACGAAGCTTCAGAGTTCAGATCAGCTCGTGTGCTTTTGCAAATGGCGTTGCTTTCAATTTATATGAGACGATGGATTTAGGGTTTTGATTTTGGATCGAACAACGAATTCCTGTGGTTGGACATGGGCCCTTTAGGCCCAGCCTGTTAGCCCTATGAAACCCATAACAAAAAAATGTTACATACAGACACTAGAAATAACCTATTAGCAATTAGGTGGTGTTTTGTTGAAGTTTTTTTTAGGAGATACCTAGGCATCATAGATAGGGTTTCTTTGTTTTTCATGTTTGGTTCACAATATTACAAAATTTTGATAGGAAACACATTTCCTTAGACTTTAATATTTGTGTATAAAATGGAAGGAAAGTTACTATTCAATAAAACCACTTTGAACGTGGTATTGTGAGTTAGACTGCTAAATGAATAAAAGACAACCAAAAAGCTGACTGTAATATCCATATATAAATGCTCGAGACTTATGCTCAAACTACCCTTATCCATACTTTTGCATATGTCTTTTTTGAAGCATTTTCTAGGTGATAGAATGCAATTTCCAGTACTAATGGGTTGCTTTCGATGATAAATGCTCTTATTGTCTTGCTCCCTTATCTGTATGTGTACTTCTTCTTCTTCTTTTGCCAATTTCTTTTTCTGAAAATTAGATTGAAGTTAGATTCCAACAGAAGAACATGGAAAAAAGAGGACTTGTTTTGTGATCAAAATTGGGTTATTTGTTGGTTTACAGTGGTACACACAATTTTTTTATTTTCCCAAAATTTTAAAAATAAGGATATTTTTGTAATTGTCACTTATTTTCTCATCTATATTTTACCTCAAACCAAACATAGACTGTATAAATCTTACCTAATTTGCCCGGTAAAATTTTTTCCAACCAAACTCACTTTCCAACCATTTTCCTATCAATTACATTTCCTTAGTATTCAAAAATTTCTCCTCAACCAAACACCCTGAATTAAATTGATTATGTAAGAGTTTTATACTCAGAGTGGGATAATAGCTTCTTGAATTAATATATATATATGGAAAAAATATTTTTTCGGCAACTTGAGATAAGTTTATCTTCGGCCACCCCAAAACTACGTCGTTTTATTTATTTATTTCCTTATATTAATTGATTCACCTTTGAATGGTTATGATTTCTTTTTTTTTCTCTTCCTTCATTACCATTGATCCATCTTTGTACCGGAGATAAAATTATCTTAGGCAGCTTAGAAACGATAAGCTATATATATATATATATATATATATATATATATATATATATATATATATATATAGGTAAAGGATTTCTCCAGTCAATGGAGATAAATTATCTTCAGTAAGCCCAAAATGACGTCATTTTGTGACGGAAATCAATGTATTTTTATAATTCTAATTTATTACAGGTTATATTAGTCTTTTTCATTATTATTTTTTAATCTTACAATCCAAAGACGTTGTTTTTGACTCACTGGAAATAAAATTATCTCGAGAAATACTTTTTCATATATATATATATATATATATATATATATATATATATATATATATATATATATATATATATATATATATATATATATATATATATATATATATATATATATATATATATCGTAGATAAAGTATTCATAATATTACTTGAGATGTTAAATTGTTCACGACAGATGAAAAGTATTTATGAGGGTATGTTTGGATTCACTTATTTTTCTTTAAAATTATTTTTTAATATAAATTTTGAAAACTGATTTTAAAAATAAAAAATAAAAAATTGTTTGGATATTATTGAATCTAAAGTTTAAAAAAAAAAAATTTTTTTTTTTGGTAAAAAAAATAAGATAAGAATATCAATAATAAACTTTTATAATTACAAAATTATTGCAAAATAATTTAAATTAAAAAAAGTGTTATTAATAAATTTTATAATTATAAATTACTCCTATAAACAAAATAAAACTAATTTTTTTTGAAAATATCTTTAAATTATTCTCTAATTTTACTTTTAAAAACTAAGAAATAGTTATTAACTCAAGAGTCATTTTAACAAAACAACCATTATCAAATAATTTTTAAAAAAATAAATATTTGTTTTTAAAAAAAGAAATAAAATGCGGCCATATGAATTTCTGTTGTGGATGTTGCCGTAGAGTTTTAGGAAATTTAAAGCATGTTATAGCCAGAAGAAGGTTTTCCTTCCATCCTACAATTCTCGTGGCAATATGAGTTGAGCCCGGCGGATTAACTCACCAAAACGGACGGGTTGAGTTGAAGTTTTCAACGGGTTCAACCTGCCGCGAGGCTGGTTGACCCGCCGGGTTATAAGTTTTTATTTTTTTTACACTTAAGTAGTATTTCATTTGTCATTATATTTTTGTAATATTCAAAAAAAAATTATCTTAGTACTTCCTAAAAATATACATAATAACAATTTTATTTACTAAAAATGTTATCTATATATGGAGACAAATGAGTTTCCAAAGAATATTTAACTAAATATTAGTATACATTTAAAATTGAGACTCAAAAAATTAAGAGAAGTGTAAAATAAAATAAAATAATATTATAAAAAATCATAAAATATAATTTATTTTTGAATTTTAATTAAACTGTTTTTAAACTGGCGGGTTGGTGGGTTGACCCACCAACCTGCCATAAAACAGGATGGGTTCATTTTTCAGCCCATATTTAATGGCGGGCCAACCGCGCCACCCCGTTTTTGGCGGGTTGGTGGCGGGTCGGGGCGAGCCAACCCAAATTGTCACCCCTATCTTCAATTCCCTTGTTCATCCTTTCCACATTCTTAGTAAAGGTGGCATAGTTGGATATGGAAACTCTTTTCTTGTTAAAAAATGTATCAAATCTTCAATTTGTCTTTATTATTTTTTCATGAAAAAAATTTCATCTTCAACATAACTTGAAATTTTTTGCATAAATGAACAAATACTGAAAATAAAATAATAAATAAGCACTACAAGGATAAAAGTGGGGGATTATTTGTGATAAGAGCAATGTTATCAAAATTGGGTCGAACTGGAACCCGGTGTGGTGAACTGGTGAAATAACAGGTTCAAATGAAGCAACAGACTCGTCATGTAATGAACCTGGTGAAAACCGATTCGACTCAACCAGTTTTTATCAAAAATCGATGACACGGTCGATTCACAAATAAACCAGCGGGTCATGTATTTTTAAAAAAGAAAACTACGTTGTTCTGCACTTTTGCTCTAATTCACTTTGTAACTAGTGGACGACCAACAACTCCTAAAGGAAGATCTGGCTCTAAGCATTGGGACCACATTCTCGCACTTTCAGAGCGTTCTAGTTAGCTTTCGTGGTAAATAGAGTTATTCATTTTGGATCTATTCGATCTTCGTTTCAATTCCACAATGTTGCTTGTGAGTTTTTTTTTGGTTTATTGCTTGGTATGTCGATACCTAACATGTTTAATGTAAACCGATGAGGTAATATAATTCATTGATTTTAATTTGTTGATTTTTTTAGCATGATTCACACCATAATTCATGGGTTTGTGGTAGTTTTACTTAAATCATGCTTCCTTTTAGGCTATTAACTCTCTCATTTGAAACCATGACTTTTTGGGGGGAAAACAGTACATAGGATTTTTTGGCTAAGAAATGAGGTTAATCTAATAATTGAAAGACCATATTGTAAAGAGTATAAAGCATGAACTACAACATACCTACTTCTTACATCACAAGATGATTATTTAGTATTCTAAATTGAGAATCATGCTTTGAACATCTAGTAGGATCCATTGGCTCAAATTCTTGCTCACCACGATTATATGCACTCAAGAAGAACCAGTAAGGTTGTGTTTATGATAAATAATATATTCTTGATAACAAATATCACGCTTCACACTAGTGCTAATTTATGTTTTAAAGTTCTAAATGTTCATACAATCATATCCTGATAAATATTCATAGCTCATTTTGAAAAGTAATCATTTTTTCAGCCATACATAATTTGTTAATAGAGTTTTGAGGATTGATATTTAATTAGATTAGCAACAAAATGTTATCAGTCTCATGTTTGTTTCCCTGCCCCTTTTTTTGGGGGGGAGAGAAATTTAAGAAACATTATTAGCATATTACTTATTGCATGCACAGGCAGAGTCAAAGACAACTATGTTGAGTTAAGTTATCAGTTACGTAGCACTGAACAATGCCACATAGTTAGTGCTGATAAGTCTGGCATATTTTCTTCATAGTTTTTGGTATAGATAATTTGTTACTTGTCTATTGAAATTAACCTTGTAAATGCAATGCAAATTATTTTATTTCTTTTTAGGCAAAATACATAAAACCACCTTGTACTTAGATGCTTTTTTAAAAGACCACCTTTTTTTAATTGGAATAATTAACCCCCTTATATTATAACATTTCAACAATTAGACAAATTTAATCATTTTTAAACAAAAGTAACCTTGTCCCCAAATAAGAATACCCTTGTTCCCAAACACCCCCCCCCTCATCGATGAGGTGTTGGAGCCTGGAGGTGACCGGAGGTGCTAGAAACATTGATGGTGATGGCGAGGATTCGAATGGAGGTGATGTTGGTTCCAATAATGGCTGAGGACTAGTGTCTAACACCAGCATAGGTGACTTGGTTACCGGTGAAATCGTCGGCAAATATGGTGCAAATATGATATTTGTTATAATTTTTTTCTCGGTTTTCACTTGAAAGGTGAATCAGATATACATGAACATGAAGCAGCGACCAAATGTATAATAATATCTTTGAAGCAATTTACAGTGAGAACTAAAAGTTGCCACCACGACGTTATACCACGTGCTGCTACACTAATGGCTAGTTTCGTTCAACACTAGCTAACAATACTTTTTTTAAGGTAAAATTCCAGTGGTGGTGGGTTGGGGGTAAGGGTATTTTTGTCTGAAAATTACTAAATATGTTTAATTGTTGAAATGTTATAATACAAGGGGGTTAATTGTTCTATTTGAAAGTAGAAGGTGGTTTTTTAGAAAGCACCTAAGTACAAGGTGGCTTTATGT